AAAAAGAAAAAAAAGGATTAAACAAGGGAGTAGCTGAGTACATCAGTTTATATGGACATTCAAGATTTATACAGGCCACATGCAACTGGTGGTAATGTGAAATCTGAGAGACCACGATTGGCTAGGTATATGGGGCTATGCTCGAGTGATATAGGGATCAATGCATATTAATCATGGGGTAAACATGAAGGAGGTGGAGGGATAATATTGGGATACATATATTACAGAAATATCTCGTGAGAATAAGAGGGTGGGGTGGATGAAACTGGCTCAGGATCATGTCCAGTGACGGGCTGTCATAATGAAGGTGGTGAATCACTAGGTTTTCTTCTTACCGAAAACAAGAATCTCTATGACTGTCTTCCTACAGCCCCCAAGAATAACATAACAATTCATCTCTGCCTTATCATCTGCGTACGTCACTGGCCCTTACGGCAAAACAGTTTGGCAAGAACATCCGAACAATCAGTTCATGTCACCAAATCGCATTCTCTAGGACGGGCAAGCCTTCAGCTTGCTCTGTCAACAAGCATTCGAGACAAACTGTCGTCTATTCTGTGAATTATGAAGACGCAATTGAACGGAGGTGGGAGATGTTTTCCATTCTTCTTCCCCTACTATTTCTCTTTGCCTTCCACTGCAAAGTCTTCAATTTCAGAAGACGCCAAAATATGTTGCAAGAGCTAAACAAATCTTTGTAAATAAGGGTTGCAAACTGCGGTTCCATCTCTCGTGATAATGCACAACAAAACCAGGTGTAGTTGCAGACGTCGATTTCTACAGTGTAACCAGATTTTGTTGACAGCTTGTATATTCATACTGGACACGCGGTAGCGCAGTAGGTTTCAGGCACTATGCTACAAGCCGGAAGATAGCGGGTTCGAGTACCGATAAGGTAGTTTGTTTTTTTTTTCAATTGACCTAATCCTTCCAGCCGCACTATAGCCCTCGGGTCGACTCAGCCTCAAACAGAAATGAGTACCAGGAATCTTCCTGGGGGCAAAGTGCGGCTTGCGTGTATGGCTGACAACCTCACCGCCATCTGTAAACCGATTGTCTAGAGAAAATGTGGAAGCCTCGACGTCTCACAACCCTATGGGCCTGAACGGCCTGTTTCAGGGTTAGCTTTACCTTTTTTTACTCGTATTTCAGTAAAGTTGGAGTGCTCAACACTACCTCTTCGCTCATTCGGAAGCCGAGTTCGTGGGTTCGAATCCCACTCCGGGCATGGGTGTTTAGTGTTTGTGTGTGTGTGTGTGTGTGTGTGCGTGCGCGCGCATGCGTTTTTCTCTGTTTGTGTATAGGTAGAAGTCTTGCGACCAGCTGATCACCCGCCCAAGGAGTCCTACCGAATGTCTAAGATTTAGTAAACCGAAGTGAAACGGAGAGTTTCATGGAGGTAGTGAAGGCCCAAATGAGGGCTGTAGCGCCAATGAAAAAAAGAAAAGATTATATTTATATACTGTTATTCGTTTACCAAAGAACTCACTTGACTTACTCAATTCAGTCTTTAGTCTATACTAGTGGTTCCAAAATTCTTTTAGTCTGAGGCTTCTTTGGTGGGAATAAATAAGTGTCATGCTTCCAAGCCTATAAACATTAACTGAAATGACATTTAGCGTTTTTAAAAGAAATAATTACTAGTGAGCATTAGTGATATCTATGAATACTTAGTATTTCGTATATTAAATTGTGAATTAATAATTTAATTTCACATTTAAGGATTAAAATTGATTCGACGTCCTTTTCATCGGTCCGCATTTGGGCGGCACCAGGAAAACATTTCAGGGGTCCATGGGGAGTCGCGGCTCCCACTTTGGGAAACGTTTGCCTGTATTGTAGACTGGTTCCTACATGTGATTACGTTGCATTTAATACAGGTACAAGTAGTACGGTTCAATACAGCGCGTCGTTGCAGGAAACACAGTAAGAGTTTTACACCAACTTTTAATGAATTGTACGATCTGTAAACAGGCACATATGTTTCTGCTTAGCGCAATTAATGATAATTCTGAACATATACACTGACGCAACTAAGGTGGCAAAACGGTTCCAAGGGTGGAGCCTCCGTGTTTATTGCTGGGTATGGAAATATTTACATTAATTTTTGGCGCGTTCTCAATTAAAAGTTACCAAAATCGTCTATCGCTTCGTCTTATGCCTGTTTGTCCGTCCATCTGCAACAATTCGCAAACCGATGAATTTATTTCCAATAAATTTGATAGTCCCCCCTGCCTCTCTCTCCTCTTGTCCCCCACCTGCTCCGACCATCATAATTAAGCACTACACCAGATAGTGCAGTCGGTATAGCGAGTGGTCGGAATTCGAGTCTCAGTAGGGTCAAGTATTTTCTGTTCTTCACAGTGTCCAGACTGGCTCTGGGGCCCACCCAGTCTCCTATCGAATGGATACCGGGGACTCTTTCCCAGGGGTAAAGCAGCCGGGGCGTGAGGTCAAGAAAACTTGGATCTATACGTCCAGTCCTCCATACGTGTTCATGGTGTAGTGCTTAATTAGCTAAGCACAGGAACAACTTTATCTTTACCTTACACCACGAAAATATATGGGGGAGTGAAGGTATGGCTCCACCATACTTGACCTCGGTGCTAGATGGAGAATTTTTCTAAAATTATCGACACAATCCAATTTTTGATTGGAATCAGATAAACGTGTGCTTCTGAACACATCTGCATCCTAACCCGTATTTACAGGAGCGAGAACTATTCTGGAGCAACACTGCAGAGAAACGTTACATGCATGCTTGCTGCCCATTGCGCTTTGTCAGGAATTCTTACTGTTTTGCAAATAATGAGGCATAAACAAAAGGAAGAGGAAGCGCCAACATTATTACGCTGTGCGTATGTTTCCTAACTTGTTATGTTACAGACACTGTTGCTCAGAAAACGTACGTAAGATAACATTATCTGACAAACTCGACTGTGCAATCGAGCATTATGGCGTAACGGCAACATTCTACATTTGTAATCGGGAGATGCTCGGTTCGAGCATCAACCGAAATACCATTTATTCTAAGGGTTTTCTAGAATTTCCTCAGTCTCTCCAGACATGTGCCGTGATAGTATCTCGACTAGATAACGACCGTTTCCTTCCATTTCATCGTTATCCATCCTCCTTACTACCCAACGCCGTATAATCTTTATACTAAAAGCATCGTTAAATAACCAATAATAAATTATGAATAAATACCAATAAAATTTCAAGGGCGATGTTGGTGAATTTTCAGCATTAACTACAAAATTACAATGTTTACTTCAATGTACAAGGTAAAAAGTAAAGTTGTCCCTGTGCTTAACTAATTTATCACGACTCCATGAAGGCGTATAGGGGAGTGGGATTATATATCCACGTATTCTTGGCCTAGGAACTCATTGGATAAGACGCTGAATGGAGCCCAGAACGGGTCTGGATGACATGGACAAGAAAAAAATCTCGCCTCAAGCGGGACTCAAACTCCGACCCCTCAAGCTGTCTAGCCCGTAGCCAGTAGCTAAGCTGTATCTTAATTAATATGAATATTACAGAAACGGCGTATGACAATGTGAACTAGATTCATCTTATTTATGAATAACGTTCGGTATTGCAGAACACGGCAATTAAAGTCCGGCCTCCATAAAACGCAAGGAATTTCTCAACCAGCTGTGCAACTACTATCTTCCTGAGAAGCAGCCTTCTCTGTGATGTTTCGCTTAGTGGGGGATGGAGTCCAAATGGGTCCACTCGGCACGGCGGCCACTGATTGGCCTATTGTACCTGCCCCGGGCGATTATGATGATGGAGAATTTGGTGGAATGAAGATTGTCAGGGGAAACCGAAGTACTCGGAGAAAACCCGCCCCAGCGCCACTTTGTCCACCACAAATCCCACATCACCAGACCCGGGCTCGAACCAAGGGCGGCCGCGGTGGGAAGCCAGCGACTAACCGCTTGAGCTATGGCGCGCCCTCTCTATGATGTTAGTTAAGATTCCTGTTGATGACGATACTGATATATCGCTTTGCTTAACTAAGCACTAAGTCATGAAATTGCTTTGTGTACTGGAGTTATAGTCCACATATTCATAACACATGTCAGCTTCATGACCCAGCCGCTTTACTCTTGGGGAAAGAGTTATGGATATCTGTTACAGGTTAAACTCTCTTTGGCCCCAGAATCATTCTGGACGCTGTGAAAAAGAAAAATTTCCTGCCTCTACCAAGGATCGAACATTGATTCCTCGGCATTCCAACCCGCAGCCACTTTGCCGAGTGGCTTGGGTCAGCTGACTGCAAACTGATTATATTAACTGTTGAAACGGAACGCGCTCATATATGCGTCACAAATTCCTACGGCCTGCATATCACAGAAGTGGGTACGCAAGAGAGTTCCTTGTAATAACTGCGTACCAATATTATGAAATAAAATAGTGTTAAAATGTTTATGTAGGCAAAAGGAAAAGTTGTCCCTGTGCTTAACTAATTAAGCACTACGCCATGAAGGCGTATGGGGGAGTGGATGTATAGATCCACTTTTTTTACCTTGGCAGTAGTTGGAGGTGAGTGGTCAGCTTGACGCCCCGTTCGCTTAAACCCGGGGAAAGATTCCCCGCTGTCAATTGAATAGGGGGCAGGGTGGGCCCCAAAACCGGTATGGACGAGTCCCCTACAGGGACTCGAGCTCCGACCCCTCGTTCGTCCAGTCCGTAGCCAGTCGCTATACCGATACCCAAATAAGAGTAACTTTATAGACATAACCTGTAGGAACACTGCTACTATTACGCTAGTGACACACCAGTTCTTCTGTCATTATCTACTCTCCTGCCTCATTCATGCTAACTGTACTGGCGCACGAGGACTCCCGTTCCTCCTGTTCTCCTTTGATCCCAAGTAATCCCCTCCCCAACGTTTGACCACCACACCGCAAGTCCCCCACCCCAACCCAATACGTACCCCACACGCCCCACACCACTTGGACTTCCTTCGGCTTATATATGCCGTCCCTTAGCGGGAACTCACATACTGACTCGACTGAAGCCGAAGAGGAGATTTCGTAGGCCAGAAGAACGCTCCTGTTTCAGGGTTGCTCTAATATCAGTTTGTTCTGAGTATTCTTCTGCAAGGGACTGATCATTTACTTTGGGTTTGGTCGGAATTTTGAGACGAGGTGATATTTACTGAACTCTACATCCTTGGTTAAGTCTAGTGACTGCTTCTAACACCCACAATGGAAAGCCGACTACGAGCATGTGCAGTCATCTTGGCCGGCGTGTTTGTCGCCTGCCTTCTCGCATCTACCGAGAGTGCAGCTGTTCGTAGTAGCGTAAGTACATAGTTATAGCACCACATAGCCTTGTAGAGTATCTCTAGGGGAACCTGCTTCCATCCTCAGGGTAGAAAATGGATGCAACAGGTTCGTTTTAGACATCGATAACTACATGATGGAATTACCAGAAGACCACTGTCAATTATCTCTTGCCGAGGAAACGTCAAATTTAATTGTTGGTAATGAATTTTAGGGGGGGGGGACTCAGTCGGAATAGTTCCATTCCATACATTTCAAATTGTCTGCAGAGGTTACGCTTTACACTAACAATTTCAGTAGGACGGGTTATCTACAGTGTAGAGAGGTGGCTCTATTTTCAAGAACTGATGTTAAATAATAAAAAAAAAGTATCTTGTTTTCAAGCACCTTAACGAAGTTTTTAATACTGAAATGTGTTGCAAATTCCTCCAGCTAACTCTGTTTGCAGAGTAACCACTTTGGTATAAAATTGTATTAACAGTTTCCTTTAAGGAAGACTAAGTTACATTCACGCAACAAGATTTTCTGTATTCATACATGTAATACGCCCGACTTGATATACATCACATGTTGAATAACAGCGTGGAATTACTGGAGGAATGTGTACATTACAGGTATTACACAGGTTAAATTCGCCTTTGCTGTGGGAAGAAACTTTACTGTAGACCACATGGGGGCGTTTGGAGTAAGAACGGTGTCATTTCTTTTTTATGATCTGCGTAGTTAGTATATTCACGTATTGTAAGAGTTTTGTCTTCTGGGATATAACGTCATGTAGTTCGGTGAAAGTCGACACGTTTCGGAGGAACATCACCTCCATCATCAGGTTAGGGGAATAAGTCAAGCAAGCAACGAAACGTGAAGGACGCAGCAAGCTTGGAGGTTTGCCGAAACTTAGGTTGACATCCACCTGATTGCTCGAGACCCACAAATAGAGGCGCCTATTTGTATCGGATCCAAGACCTTTGGAATCCTTACTGCTTGGATTTAATATTAGTGGCGACATCTGTAATCGAACTCATGATCTCTGGATCACCATGTCATAATTTTGTATTATTAACGGCGAAGGTTAATTTGGAATCCGGGACCTTTTTGAGTGTTACTGTACCTGCATTATATGAAGTATACCTCGGACATTATTCAGCATAATGGTAGTTGAAGGTAAAGTTGTCCCTGTGAATAATTACTTTAACATCACCCCATGAAGATGTATGGGGAGTGGAGCTGTACCGCCACCATTTTTGACCTCGGAACTAGATGTTGAGTGGTGAGCTTCACGCCCCGTCCACTTTACTTCCGGGGAAAGAATAGGAGGCTGGGTGGACCCCAGAACCGGTGCTAACGCTGTGGAGAAAAATCTCTTTCGCTGCAGGGTATCGAACCCTGGTCTTCCAGCCCGTAGTCCATACGGACCGAACTATGGCCGCTCAGCACCCTGTTGGTGGGGGTCTATATGAATGGCTTCAGTGTGGGACAGCAGGTAGGAATATAGAATTGAGACCGTAACAGGGAACTTGGGACAAAGCTCCAAATACTTTCCCTGGTCAGGATACCTGACAGAGGATGGTGAATTGTGCAGAACCTGGGGGGTTTTAGGAGAACACCTGGCAAGGTACGTTGAGTTCGATGTTTCATGAACACACAGTTCTTGTTCGAGTCATGCTGAGAGTCATTGTTTGAATAGAAAAAGTTTTCTCGTTTCAACGTGAAGTGGATGAGAATGCAGTTTTTCATTTTTCTTTACGTTTCTCATATTTGCTATTAACTTATATCGCTTGACGATGCAGCGTTTTTCTTACTCTACGAATTGCATGATCAATGGAATTTTGTCACGAGTCTTATGATGTAGTTCATTTCACAGAGTACATTAATATTTTAGGCTGTTATGGAGTAATTACAGGTACTGAAAGCTCGTCAGGGTGTTTTACCCAATGTAACATTTCTCATTACTTAACAGTAATTACTGTGAGCAAATTGTACTCGAGTAAGAGACCCAATTTATAATCAAATTACCATCGCTATAGTACTGAGATCCTGTGAGACCTGTCCGAACAAAATTCTGGTTTCTGCTTTCCATTTATACATGGTAAATAAAATCACGAATTTGTTGAGAAACATAAGTCATATTTCTCTTTATTTTATGCGCATTAGCAGTCATATTATTAGCTTTACATATTTCTCTTTCGCCAAAATTATAAACATGATTTATGGAAATTCCCATTGTGCTACAGTTTTTCTTGCGGAAGTCTGATATAAATTTAGTCAAACTTTCGGAGCATCCATACCTTCTGTTATCCAGGAGCTGCCCCCGATCCTCAGCTACGTAACGGTTCTCTTTATTCATTTGCTAACAGTGAATTCGGAGAGCGGACTATGCAAACGCTAACTTGAAACAGCCGTCTGGAATTCCGCTGGAGCAATGCCTAAATGTTTTTTCACTCTTCCGTTGTACGTCACATCACCACCACCACCGACACAATTACCATTAGCATCATCACTTATTCACCCCCTCAATCATCTCCGTTCACCGTTAGAGAATTACCATAATCATAACCTATTCGCCGCCACGCTCATTACCGAAATTCCATTATCAAATGACCATTCACCATACCGAGCAAGCTTGTTCGCGGGTTACCGCGTCTGAGTTACATGAATGATGAATTGGAAATGATGCGGAAGGAAGCGGTCTTGGATTAATGTGAGGTACCGTTTGGGTTGAGGCACTGTGCTACAAACCGGAAGGTCGCGGGATCGAATCCCGATGAGGTCATTGAATTTTTTTTTTTCAATTTACCTAATCCTTCCAGCCGCACCATGGCCCTGGGGTTGACTCAGCCACTAATAGAAATGAGTACCGGGAATCTTCCGGGGGGTAAAAGGCGGCCGGCGCGTAAGGCTGACAACGTTACCGCCGTCTATGAGCCGATTGTCTAGATAATGTGGGAGCCTCAACATCTCACAACCCTATGGGCTTCCACGGCCTGTTACAGGGATATCTTTACTTACCGTCCGGGTATTTGTATTTACTGAGAAAAACTACGAAAAACATGGCTGGATAGCCGTGTCCTGTCCGAGTTTCGAACCGGCACCTCCAGAATACAAGTTCAGAAACGTTAGCGCTTGATCCACCTTGTTTGGTGTGGTTGCGTTCGGCTGCCGTGTTCACATTCCTATGATAACGTCACTGTGTAAATTATTAGCGCTGTAGACGGACTGCGTTATCATTTCCGTTGTTGTGTACAGTGTGTGGCCGCTGTTGTGCAGATGTGTTTGTTTGCAGAGTCTTCTGTATACAAACATGCACGTGCCGACGCTATCGCGCGCGAAAACTGTAAAGTGCCGATGGATGGATTCCAAATGATAAATATAGAAAACAAATCAGCTTTGCTGACTGTTCTAGGAAACGGCTTAAAACGTTGTACACGAGGCAGTTGTCGTTTTCAATTACTGCGTAGTACGATTTTTTTTGTCTCTTTCACAGTCCAATGTTAAATGGAGACAAGGAGATTTTTTGTTGAGTGGTGTGTGGCCCAGAGTCAATAGGTTATCCATGAATGGGAGGAGGAGAGAAGCGTTTGATATCCGTCATGTTATAAAGATAAGTATTTTGACCCCAGAGTTCACATTTATGATCGGCACGCTGTAGTCGGACACAAGGTCGTCATTACTACTAGCACGTACTACGAAATGATCCTTACGTTAACTGTAATACAATTAGGGTTGGATTGTCACGTGACATTCTGGTGCTGCGTACTATCTGTGTTTGATCATTACCCCTCTAAGTCTCATTTTATTTTGTTTCGAATAGTGGTAACTTATTTTCGTTCTTCTACGGATTAATAATAATTAACCGAGGGATCGGACTTCGAGTCCCGGTATCGTGAAGAATTTTCGGTTCTCCGTAGCGTTCAGACCGGCTCTCGGGCCCACCCAGCCTCCTATCCAATGGCTACCGGGGGTAAAGTGGCGTGAAGCTGACCACTCACCTCCAACTAGTGCTGAGGTCAGGAACAAGTGGGTCTATACACCCACTAATTATTTCCATCTTAATTAAACAGGTGCCCTAATGAAATGTGCTTGAAATAACTGGCTGTGCGTCAGCTGTAGCTGCTAATTTCGAGTCTTTATTTCTCATTTAGTTTCGCGAGTTTTGTGTTACTACTTGGGCATATAGGCGTAAAGGTGACCTGGTCAGAGTTCCTGGCTACAGATCCAGATGTCCGGGTTCGATTCCCGGCGCTACAAGATTTTCTGTGAAGTAGTGGGTATGAGTAGTGGGTATGGAACGGGGACCATTCTGCCTCGTGAGGATAAATGAGGAGCTATTTCAAGGAAATAGCGGCTCCGGTCTAGAAAACCAAAATTAACGGCCATGGGGATTCTTTGCGCTGACCACGCGACACTATCCGCTAAAGTTAGCACTAATTTCACCAATAAGCGGCGGTCGCTCGGTCGGTATAGTTCGCTTGCTGACTGAAACCACGGAGTTTGTTTTTGTATAGGCGTAAAGGTAAAAAAGGTAAAGTTGTCCCATTGCTAACTAATTAAACCACTACACCATGAAGGCGTAAGGGGTAGTAGATGTATAGACACACGTTTACTTGACCTAGGCACTAGTAGGAGGTGGGTAGTCAGCTTCACGCCCCGGCCGCTTAACCCCCAGGGAAGGAGCCCCCAGTACCCTTTGGATAGGGGACTGAATGGACCCCAGAGCCGGTCTGGACGACATGGAGAAGTGAAAATTCTTGACCAGGATTCGAACTCTGACCCCTCGGTTGTCCAGCCAGCAGCTAGTCGTTATACTGAGTGCGCAATCTCGGCTCTCTGAGCGTATAAGTGTACGCTAATTACTTTAGAAACAAATAGCTACACATTTCGAAGCCATATATTAGAATTACATTCATTATAGCCTTCAATTGCGTGCCACTAGCGTCTGTCCCAACAAGATTTGAATCCAGATCTTCACTCCTATATAAGGCCCATGATAATACCCTTCAGATGTGCGAGCTAAAGCTTTGTGCGCATTGTCACCTCTAGCATGCGTTCAGTTGTATGCCCCAAATACACATGCATTGTCAAAGCATATCCAAACTTAAATGACTGACATGTCTTGAACACGATAAAATCATTTTTAGCATCGACTTACGTTGTGTATGAAGATATTTGCTCACGACCGCAACTGTGAAAGGAAAATTTACACGTTTTTAATAGTGTCGTACGTCTGATACAGAGTAACAGAAAACTCTCCATCCTGCACTTCAGGCAACCCAACTAGTAGTTAAGTTGAAATGATTGCATAGCGTGGCAGGAGGTTAGGTGCACGCATTTGCCATGTAATGCGTTTAAATCGTGTCTTTCCATTCCCTTGGAAAGCACAATAGACCACTGTAGGTCGCGGAGCAAGGGCCGAGAAGGCCTACCCCTCATACATTCATTCCATTCCCTTCTCATAATAACAGATTTCTGGCATAAAATGACTCAAAATAATGTTTGACTGACTTCAGAGAATACAAAAACCAGCGGGAAAATATGATACGCTGAATATGCGTTGAGTTCGGTAAGCAGATGGATTACCTGCACCGTATTTGGAGAGGTAATTGGGTCCGAAACTATTTCTTCAGAACGTGATTAATTCTGTCCTACCTGGAAACATACCCATGTTCCATTTCGACACGGTGATTTAGAAGTAGTTAAATTTCAACAAATCAGATTATAAATTCGATAAATTTTGTATTAGCCTACTTTTCCTACTTTAAAAAAGTAAAAGTAGGCTTACGAGATCATCCTGTCTGTGCGAGTTTGTGAATTTCACCGCCCTCTATTAACGTTTGAATGGCATAGGATCCACTCTCAGCTGCGTATTCGAGAAATTCCATCAGTCTGTGTATGTGTATCCTCTGCCGTTGCTAGGCAACGGCTTGGTAAAAACGTTGGTTTCTATGCGGTCCGTGTTGTAGCAAATGGATTTAGGCTATTAGTTCTCTCTCAGAAATTCTTGCTTAATGGATCAATCCATATCATTTGAGACGTCCCGGGGGTGGGTTCAGAATATGAGATAGGTCCAGGTTCTACTCGAGGCAGCTGGGACACGTCACTGTGACTTTCAGGGTGTATCCAGAACTTGAGCGGAATGTTGCGACTACGTGATTAGAACTTGAGTCCAAAGAACATGACCGATGCGTTCTAAATCTTCTCAGTTCACCCACAGGATCATTCAACATTATAATCTCTAGAATTGACAAAAGCCTCATTGTGTAAACCATCCTGATTAAAGATTATAGTGTTTTTTCTCAGTCCTAGATAAATTCCGGGATAGTAACTCTAGTACGGCCGCGCCATAGCTCAAGCGGTTAGTCTTTGGCTTCTCACGGCGGCGGCCCGGGTTCGATCCCTGGTCTGTGGTGGACAAAGTGGCGCTGGGGCAGGTTTTCTCCGAGTACTTCGGTTTCCTCTGCCAATCTTCATTCCACCAAATTTTCCATCATAATAACCCGGGGCAGGCTACAATAGGCCACTAAGCGATTTAACTCTAGTAGGCCAAGAACTCATTCATTATTAGACGGTCAACCCACCATCCGAGGCTATATGATCTAAGCCACTGGGCACCATAAATTAAAGTTGTCCCTGGGCTTAATAAATGAAAATATCACGCCATGAAGACATGCAGGAGTGGAGGTTTAGCTGCACCATTCTTGACCTCGGCACTGAAAGGAGGTGAGTGGTTTGCCTCATGCCTCGGCCGCTTTATCCCCGGAGAAATCGCCCCCGTACCCATTGGGTAGGAGGCTGGGTGTGCCGCAGAACCGGTCTGAATGTTGCGGAGAATAAAATCATTTCTCCCCTACCGGGAAAAGAACCCCGGTGGTCCAGCCCGTAACCCGTCGCTATAATAATGGCCCCAAATGATCACAAATCGTGTGATTTCAGAGCGCAAACACGAACTATACTGAGAGATGTGAAACTAATTGCTCCCAATATTCTTGTTGTTACAGAGATCAGTAGGAGATGCGAGCCCATCTGTTAACCTGTCACGTGTGAAGTTCTGTCGCAGCAGTACGCCCTGTGGCTGGGCAGTCTATGTGCCGTTCACACGCCGTGTTGACTACTTCATGAAGAACACGTAAGTGTGTGACATAGGTCGCCTATATATAGCGCAGTGGAGCTACTTGAAAGGAAAAGAAGCGGCTCCGATCTAGAAAACCGAGATCAACGGCTGTGGGGATCCGTTGCGCTGACCACGCGACACCCTCTATCCGCTAAAGTTGGCACTAACTTCGGGGACGAGCGGCGGTCGCTCTGTCGGTATAGTTCGCTTGCGGACTACAGGCCACGGAGTTATTTTATGGTGTTTCAGAGTAGGTGTGGAAAGAAGCCGTGGAATTTGGCATGATCTTCGAAAATCGAAATTGTGAGTTTGATCTGTCTGTGTTCATAGGTGTGAGTGCCCAGAAGGGAAAGCCTGCCTGCGGTCTCATGACGACCTGTCTGTTAGTGCGTACGTGTACCGATGCCACATCGACACATCAGATCAGGGAGAGGTCGATGAGCCACACGTTTCCTGAAGCCTTCACCCTCAACCCTTTGTTGCAGCGGATAAGAAATGAAGAATATACTTTACGTAATGGTGTCGTCCAGGTGACAGGAACAAATTCTTATCATGGTTGCCTACTTCTGGTGGCGCCCAGCGCCATCTTGCAGCAATCCTCATAACTGCATCGCTGTCACCATTAGCTACATGTGTTTTTTTCCTAGTTCTCTAAATATAGAACACAACTATCGTGTTGCACAATTCAAGAATTTGTACAAAATAATTCCTAAATCCAGAAGCGAATTGTACCTCATTCTACAGTGCCATCATCTGACAGCTTCACGAAAATCGTTCGCCCGCTCCAGCTAGAAAGACAGATGTGCCTCGCTTCAAACCGGGCCACGTTGGACCGGTACCAACTTCGACAAACCAAGAGCCTTTATGTTACAATTGTTCAATGTATCTCACATAAATCAGATCTACTGCGCAGCATTGAGCTTCGGGTTTATGTGCCAGCCGATTGCTGTTTTCTTGTATGGTTTCAATTTCAGGACTGTTGGGGCAGTTTATGCCGACGGTTTTGAAACCCTGGACTCCTATGCAAGGTGTCCGTGGGGTTTTGGAGAGGAATGTTCATTACTAGCATGCTGCTTTTCGGTCAACACTTTACACTTAGATTTTTTGTTTTGTTAAATGGCCTTATATGATTTTACGATCGTAGAACTGTAACATACATAAATTTAAGCCGGAATAATAATGACAAATTTGGCCCTGTTCTTAACTAATTAGGCACTGCTCCATGAAGACATGAAGACGTATGGAGGAGTAGATGTAATGGACACATGTGTTCTTGATCTCGGGGAATAAACGCGTCGAAACTTTCTCGCGCGATGAGATCCCGGTCTCCATCATCAGGATGGACCTGATGGTCGAGCCAGATCTCTGAATCGTCGGTTTTTAGTTCAACATTGACGTGGCCGATCGACCGCGAAAATTTTAGCTCAATAACAAATAATCATCATCCGTTTCTTCCGCAAAAATTTGCATATAGGTATCGTACGCGAACACTGGTCGTTCCGTTGTGAATCCCACACTTCGCATTTGACACATGTAAGAGGGCACTACTGTCTGAAGGAATGGGGGCTCGGGATTGCAGCCGGCCATCATATAAAGCATGCATTTGCTTCAGGGTAGCTTTTCAGCGGTTTACTGTGGGGTCATTGAGGATATTTTAATGGATATGGGGTCTTTGTCTGTCGAGATCTCTAGAAGTGGGAATTTCTGCGACAGACGTTGTTGCAAACAGCTGGACGATTTTCGTGAAGCCCTCAAGAGGTAGCGCTGTATTCAAATACAGAACAAGAAATTCAAGAAGAAAAACAATATTTTTGGAACCAATCTGGGTTTTTCGAATTCCCAGATTTAGGTCGCCAGACAACACACACCTGAAAAGTCTATTATATCAGCATTCATTAACATTCCAAAAGTGTCGTGAATTTGGTTTTCTGTGGACGTTCCTGTGTCAGGTTTTATGATCACCATTGCTCATGTTTATGATGATACGTATCTGCTAGCCTATTGCAGTTACTAAGGTAAATAGTTCACTGCTTATAGTAAAAATTCTAAAAGTCACTACCAGACTGGAGGTCATACTTATTTTAAAACAAGAATATTCCACAGAATTGCGATGCAATACGATGAGAATAACATAATATTTATGTTCTTCGTGCCAGTTCGTAGTTTTTAATTACTTAACCTTAATTATTGTTGTGTGTACATACTGTATTTTATTTAATAATGAACATTGCATAATGTTGTCACTAGGATAAACATCCTGAAACGGATGATATGCATCAAATCTGTTTTCATTTGGCACTTTTGTTCACTACTGATATCAAATGTGGATATGCCTTGGCAATTCAAGACTAAGGAATGTGAATGGTTTCATACTTCGAAAACAAAATCCAGTAGTTCCAGTTAATTACTGCAAGCTGAATTTTATGAATTTGTGAAGATTAGAAAACGTTTCGTCTGTTCATATATGTTATAACTTATTTATAAACTCATCTGTGGTAACTTTCAGATATGTACAATATTTGCTATTGCTTCATAGTTAATTCTGGAAACTGTTGGGCCTGTTGTCTGTGTTACTGCACGAGCATGAGAATATACTCATACTCGTAAATTGCGTAATTAACCTTGACGACCTTCATAACAGTGTTTCATATAGGATTTTTTTTTAAATTCATATAAATAATTTAAACCTATAAAACCCATAATTCGTTAGCATGCATCACAATTTTCAGAACTTGCACTTTCTAATTTTATGTGAGTTAAAAATACCTCTGTCTACAATCGTAAAAATGATAACATCCCCACTTGTTAGTCGAAATTTTGCTATATATTTTTTTGTGTATGGAGGTAGCAGTGGAAACAGATCATTGCACAATTAGTAAGCAATGTAATTAAGTTTCATATAGTATGCATATCTTGGATATCAGTATTTTAGTTGTACTTAAACGTCGGATCCAAACCATATACATAACGATCGTTAAGTTTACGACATACAGTTCTATCACTGTCCATGGTGTCTTGTGTTAATGTCGATTTAAATATGGTTTACAATTTTAAAAAAATTTAGGTATCTTATTCAGAGCTAGATTTCAAGTCTCTTCACTAAGTAGCTAGCAAGTAGCGTGTATGTTGAGTCACTAAGCCTGTGTGACATGAGGTCAGTACATCTGCTCCATCAGCAACAAGGTGTGCAGAAAACAGTTTTGTAACGAACATTTTTCAAATATAAATTATAATTTTTAGATTCTAAATTATGCAAGAATTATACGTGACTTGAATTTACTGTCAGCACCGAATAATACAGAAAATAGGAAAAATTGGTACATAAATTTAGCCCCATATTTAAGCATCACACAATAACGATGCATCTCATAAGGCAGTTTGTTACAGATTCCTAAATTGCAAGAAGCAATATTTTTCTCGGTGTATTTTGTATCTGTGCGGTGTTCTTTGAAAAGAATACGATACAGGGTGTTACAAATTTTGAAATGCAACTTGCGTCTATATAGGAAGAATTTCATTTCACAATACAATAAGAATTAAAGGAAATGCAGGTTTTTCTCTCGTCATAATTTATGGCAGCAGTGTATTTCGGTCACTGTTTGGTGGCAACATTTATTCTTGCATGGAAATGGAAGAGGAATGGTAATGCGGTGGAAACATAGGTACTTGAATGAATGAATGAATGAATGTATGAGGGGTAGGCCCTGCCAGCCCCCGCACCGCGACCTACAGTGGTCTGTTGTGCTTAACAAAGGTACTTGCTGGGAAATCTGATTCACGTAATCGGCCGTTAATAGAGCTTGGTGAAGATTTTGTCCGTTGTAGAAATACAACGCTTTGGATTTCCCAGTGAGTTAAGTTCTGAATATTAATTTATGCGGTTAATATTTCTCATGAGACGAGAGAAAAACCTAGACATCTATCGGCAAAGACTAGCCTGAACCAATAAAGATTTTTTTCAGTGCATATAAAATTTTAGTAAATAAATTACACATTTAAGACTTTATTTTCCACCAGAATGAACAAAATTAGTAGTCGAAAGGAGACATAATTTAAATTTCATCAATGTGCGCTCTTATTTCGAGCGCCTTGTTGTAGAAGCTATACCACTGAAAAAGAACTAGGTCCGTTGATTATCCGTGCATGTAACTTTTTTAAAATGTTGAACTAAGTATTTATTATTATAAATAATTTCTTTGTACTATACCGTATTCATATGCAGTATTTTTGTTTACTTTGTTACATTTTCATAAAATTCTGTTTTACATACCTTTCAGTCATCATGAAATAAAACTTACCGTATGTCATTTGACTGGCTTTCATTTTACTAGAATTCTTAGGGGACCGGATTTAATGATATGGGGCTCTGAATTAATTAAAATGTGGAGGCCTCTATTAGTGTCCATATTTTTTTCTAAGTTTAATAACTAAACATACTCTAAGTGTTTTAGAGGAGTAAATTTGTCATTTTTTGTGGATTTCTGTTTGTGTGGAGGCCTCGGGACAACTGCCCCGGTAGTTCGCCATTAAATCCGACCCTCATTCCTAGCACCGCTAATGGCTATGAACCCTTATCATGCCACAAGGCAAACCAACTATCTAAGTTAATGTCTGCAGGCCTCTGAAACAGGGATTCGCAAACGTTCTTGGACCACGGACCACTTAACTGCGTGGATCTTCTTTTGTAAACTACCAGAATAAAAAAAGTCCGTGGTGTTAGTTCGCAAGTGAGCTATACCGACCGAGCGACCACCGCTTGTGGGCGAAGTTTTTTTTTCTTTAATTCGCATAGTGGGGGTGGGGTCCACTTGGCACGACGGCCACTGATTGGCCTATTGTACCTGCCGCGGGTGGTTATGATGATGATGAAGAATTTGGTGGAATGAAAATTGGCAGGGGAAACTGAAGTACTCTGAGAAATCCCGCCTCAACGCCACTTTGTTCACCACAAATCCCACTTGACCAGACCCGGATTTGAACCCGAGCCGCAGCGGTGGGAAGCCAATCCCACTTGACCAGACCCGGGATCGAACCCTGGCCGCCGCGGTGGGAAGCCAGCGACTAACCGCTTGAGTTATGGTGCGGCCTGTCGGCGAAGTTAATGCCCACTTAGCGGATAGAGGATGTCGCGCAATGGATCCCCAGGGCCGTTAATCTCTGGTTTGTAGGCCGGAGCCGCTCTTTCTTTGAAATAGCTCCCCATTTATCCTCACAAGGCTGAGTGGACGCCGTTCCAGACCCTCTACTTCTCAGAAAATCGGGTAGTGCCAGGAATCGAACCCTGGCTTCTTGATCTGTAGCCAGGAAATCTGACCACAAGACCACAGAGGCGGTCAGAGGAAAGAGAATTATTGAATTTTGGACCTTAGGCGTCATCATGCTCCCATTTTAATCATAGTCTGTGGGAGTTTCAAAACGCCACATGGAGAGTTTTTCTCTTCCGTGAACAACTGCAGAAGGTTTTACGTAATTCTTTGAGTTTACCTGTTCCGCCTTGTTACTTATGGTGTCCGGGGGTAGGATCTAGCTGTGTCGATTGGAACGAACTGAGTCTGTTTTTTGCCTAAGGATGGAAGCAGAGTCCAGTGTCCGGAATTTCCAAAAACGTAACTATTAATATACCATCGTCACGAACTTTTAGATTATTAATTAAATGAAATATTTTTAAAGACTTTTGAATGGAATGAGAGTGAAATGTTAACACACACAGACACACACACCAGTTTAAAATTGTGAAAATATGTTGTCATGCAAATCACCTTATATGTGTGGATACATAAAGAACCCTGATTTTGAAGACTCCGCGGATGATAGCTGATGAGTTTGGAGCAATCGGCGGAATAAGAATTGGCAGGGGAAACCGAAGTACTCGGCGAAAACCTGCCCCAGAGCCACTTTGTCCACCACAAATCCCACATTACTTGACCTGGGCACGAACCCGGACCGCCACAGTGGGAAACCGCCTACTAAACGCCCTAGCTATGGCGTGACAATATCTGGTCTAAATTTGTGCTTAATTGTCTCAGTAGTTGCGTCGCTCATCCCGCATAGTTCCTTAATTTGACACCAGAGTGCGACGAATCAGTGTCGACTGAAAAGTCGTTTAACCAACCGAAGAACGCAGTGTTCATAGTATGGCGACTCGGCTGGAACTAGTTTCAGCGAAGAAAAGGCAACCGGTAATGAGAAAGGTGAGTTCAGTTTTCGCGTCACTGCTATGCGGTGTTTTGTTTTGAAGTTCTGTGTATTTGTTTTGTTACATCTTTGCAACAGAAAACAGCACACTGTCAAAGGAAACTATTTACTCAACAGGGACTATAGTGACACACTCATGGTGTGAAAGGCATATTGCCTTATCGCATCCGGCGGTATCACACCATATCAAAGATATTCACCTTTGAACTCCCTTACGTCAAGAGTAAAGTCAATATACACAATAATACAATTATCAGGCCACTACAAAGCAATTACACAATCACTATCTACACTATTAAGACCTAAACAAGTCTCCATATAATATGTACATGCCAGAAAATTTTCTTTATGCATTGCACATTTTTAAGTCTTGTTACGAGCAGCTGGTTCGTTTGACCACGAAAATTAGAGAGGACGCAAATTTAAATTACTTTGCAGAGATTAAAGGCCATTGAAGTTTTAAAATAAAGACCGGTGCGAAGACATACCATATACTTTCTCACATTCATTACCATGTAAACTACATGGAATGTTGGTCTGTAGACCATTGCTGATTGTTGAATACCGAATAACAATAAAACTCTTCTGTCCGGTGAAGGCGGTTTCGAGAAGACTGGCATGTCACTTACTTACCTTCCTGCAGGTTTATTTAAGGAGATTGTCTGCAAAAAATACGGAAATTTAATCATGATCGTCAGAGTTGTGTTTTGAGCTCCATTTGAAGGGCTCCAATTTTTGGTGCTGGAACATTCATATTCGCCGGGCACAGCCATAGGAAGGATGAACTCTTGAATACAGTATGAATAAAATCCGCCTCACTATTCAGGCGTTAGCGAGAGACATCCATACATAAGCAAATATAAGTATATGCATAAGTACATATGTACACACACCAGACCAGAAACCATATTTGCTTAATCTCGTGATCAGCTTTCACAATGACAATGTTTATGTATACCACGTATATGATAAACAAGAAGTCCTGGGAAGAACTGATCGCCTACTTTCCTTTCATACGACACAGACCAAACAGAAAACGACATCTCCAAGTTTTCGTTACCGCGGGAACATCTTTACTGAGTTTTATCTAGCAAAGGTAAGGGGATATATAGGCTGCGCCATAGCTCAAGCGGTTAGTCGCTGGCTTCCCACCGCGGAAGCCCGGGTTCGATCCCGGGTCTGGTCAAGTGGGATTTGTGGTGGACAAAGTGGCGCTGGCGCAGGTTTTATCCGAGTACTTCGGTTTCCCCTGCCAATTTTCATTCCACCACTTGCTCTACAATCACCCTCACCTATCATCTGGGGCTGGTACAATAGGCCAGAAGTGGCCGCAATACAAGGGACTTAGTCCCACCCCACTAGCAATAAAAAAATGGGATATATAGAACTACCCACAAACACGCGTCCAACAGTTCTACTGTTGCTTGTATTCGTTGCAGTGGTAACGTGTTTATCGAGCCGTTGCCTAGCAATGACAGGAGGGATACAATTTACGGAGCTATTGCCTGGCAATGATAGGAGGGATTTATGAAGGATGCCGGTGAGATGGGCTGTGAGATGCCATGATATACATACCACGTTGCACTGAGATTGGTTCAGGCATTCAAAAGTTAATAGTTAAAAGTTAAATATATGTTTACACAGAAAACTCATGATGTAAAAACACTAACTTCATGGAACCGAGCCCTTCTCGAGAAGCTGCCACTCATGCAGCTATTCAGGAACTCCCCAAAGTTTTATGGAACCCGAAGGTTCATTACCTTGTTCACAAGAGCCCTCCACTGGTCCCTATCCTGAGCCAGATCAATCCAATCCATACTAGCCCAACTTAACTCTCCAAGGTGCATTTTAATATTGTCCACCCACCTACGTCTTGGCCTTCCTAGTGGTCTCTTTCCTTCTGACTTTCCCACCAATACCCTATATGCATTTCTTCTCTCCCATATTCGTGCCACATGCCCTGCCCATCTCATCCTCCTTGACTTGATCATTCTAATTATACTTGGCGAAGAGTAGAAGTTATGAAGCTCCTCATTATGTAGTTTTCGCCAGCCTCCTGTCACTTCAGCTCTCTTGGATCCAAATATTTTCAGCACCCTGTTCTCAAAGACACCAAGTTTGACACCTTTATAGAAACGTAGGCAAAATTATAGTTTTGTATACAGGCACACTTTGGAGATACATCACATTCGGTAACAGATCACCGCAATGATACGAGTCACGCGATTTTTTTTTTATTTCCCAGCGCATATAAAAGCTATGCTTACACTACACTGTAGTCCGCCAAGTGTGCAACTGTCTAAAAACGGTGTACATACCTCAATTAAAAAAAGTGTTTTATTGCTAAAAATGCTAATCATCAACTGAGCTCTCATTTAGTTGTAATCGTTTTCCTGATGGAAGGTCTTGCTTCGATGTTGATGGCTACTGACAGATCAGGGTGGGGGTTGCTGAAGGTTGGGGTGGCGGTAGCAATTTCTTAAAATAAGACAAGAGTGAAGTTTGCCTAACACACACAACATTTATCGATTAAGTTCTCCGTCTTATATGGGCGCTGTTCGTGGCGCCCCCAAACAATTACAATAGTAACATGAAAGGTCAGTGATCTCAGATCACCATAACAGATATAATAATAATGAAAAAGTTGGAAATATTGCGAGAATTGCCCAAATGTGACACAGAGATACGAAGTGAGCACGTGCTGTTGGAAAAATGGCGCCGATAGACTTGTTCGACGCAGGGATGCCACAGATCTTCAAATGGTAAAACATGAAATATCTGCGAAGCGCAATAAAACAAGATATGCTTTTATTCTAATTTTTATGTTTTTGGACAGCAGACGAGAAGACAGAAGGTTCTGGACTGAATGGCAGCAAGCATTACCCGAGTTCAATCTCCTCTTAAATTCCTCCTGAATCAGATTTTGATTTGTTACTGTCGTTCCCAAATATCTGAACTGTGCCACATTTTCAAAGGATCTGTTAGCTATCTTTATGTCATGATTTTGCCCTGCATTTTGGTGACGAGACAGCAACATATTTAGTTTTCTCTGTGTTTACTTCTAGATCAACTTCCTTACTAGCGTCAATTAAAGTTTGTGTGTTTTTCTTTACG